GCTCGACTCCAATTTCATCGCAGTGCCAGGGGAGGTGACTGAGGCATCTGCTTGTCCAATTTTGTGGGATTCTTTTCGGCTTGTTCTTCCTGAGACCGTGGAGGAGGTTCTTGGGGCTGTGAGGGCGACCACTTCGGCTCTAGACCCTTGCCCATCCTGGCTCATTAAATCTGCCAAGGAGGGGCTGGTTGATTGGTTTGTGTTGATCATTAATGCATCGTTGGAGCAAGGGATTTTTCCATCTAACTTGAAACAGGCTGTGGTTCGTCCACTCCTAAAAAAGTCGTCCCTTGACTCTACGGTGCTGAACAATTACAGACCGATCTCCAACCTTCCTTTTTTGGGTAAGGTGCTGGAGCGGGTGGTCGCCCTCCAGCTCCAGGGCTTCCTGGATGACATCAATTACCTGGATCGGGCACAGTCTGGTTTCAGGCCTGGTCATGGCACCGAGACAGCCTTGGTCGCCTTGGTGGATGACCTCCGTAGAGGACTGGACAGGGGGAGTGTAACCCTGCTGGTCCTCTTGGACATCTCAGCGGCTTTCGATACCATCGATCATGGTATCCTTCTGGGTCGGCTCTCTGGGATGGGCCTTGGGGGCACGGTTCTGTCGTGGCTCCGGTCCTTCCTGGAGGGACGAACCCAGATGGTGAAGCTGGGAGATGCCTGCTCGGACCCCTGGCCTTTGACCTGTGGGGTCCCGCAAGGCTCTATTTTATCTCCCATGCTTTTTAACATCTACATGAAACCGCTGGGAGAGGTCATCCGGAGTTTTGGAGTTGGGTGCCATCTCTACGCAGATGACACACAACTCTACTACTCTTTTCCACCTAATTCCAAGGAGGCCTCTCGGGTGCTAGACGAGTGCCTGGCCGCTGTGTCTATCTGGATGAGGACGAACAAGCTGAAGATCAATCCCGACAAGACAGAGGTCCTCCTGGTCGATCGCAAACCAGACCGGGGTATAGGGTGGCAACCTGTGTTGGACGGGGTTACACTCCCCCTGAAGCCAGGCGTCGGCGGTGGCCAGGAGGGCTTTTGCACAACTGAGACTTGTGCGCCAGCTGCGCCCGTACCTCGCTAAGGCTGATCTGACTGGGGTGGTCCATGCCTTAGTCACCTCCAGACTGGATTACTGCAATGCGCTCTACGTGGGGCTGCCCTTGAAAACGGCTCGGAAATTCCAATTGGTCCAACGGGCAGCAGCCAGGATGTTAACTGGGGCCCATTACAGAGAGAGGTCAACCCTCCTGTATAAGGAGCTCCACTGGCTGCCGTTTATTTTCCGAGCCCAATTTAAGGTGCAGGTGCTTACCTACAAAGCCCTGAACGGTTTGGGACCACCCTACCTGCGTGACCGCATCACAGTCTACGAACCCACACGTTCACTCCGGTCATCAGGAGAGGCCCTGCTCGTGATCCCGCCCGCGTCGCAGGCGCGTTTGGTGGGGACGCGAGACAGGGCCTTCTCTGTGGTGGCCCCCCGCCTCTGGAATGCCCTCCCGAAAGATCTCAGACAAGCCCCTACTTTGGCGGTTTTCAGAAAGAATCTGAAAACCTGGCTGTTCCAACGTGCCTTTTCAGATTAGGAACCCCACTACCAAAGCCCAGAAGCACTTTAGTAGAGTCAAGATCACCTTCACCGCACACTGCACTTATATTTTAATCCCATATCCCTCCGACACTTCAGCACTTTTAACCCTGTACCCCACTCCGGCCGGCTCAGTTTTTAATAATGTCCTGTTGTATTGCTATTGCTATTGTTTCTGCTTTAACTGTTTTTATTTGCTATGTATTGTGTTGTTGTATTGTGTTGGGCTCCGGCCTATTGTAAGCCGCATCGAATCCCTTGGGAGATGCTAGCGGGGTACAAATAAAGTTATAATAATAATTTGTATGTAATGGTGGGCCACCCCAGCTGGGGGTGGTGACGGCCAACAAGGAGCTCTGGCGTGGGCTGGTCCATGAGGTCACGAAGAGTCGGAGATGACTGAACGAATGAACAACAACAAATGGTGGGCCAATGCCCCTTGGAAACAGCCCAGTAATTGCAAGCTTTTTGGGCAAGACTAGGATGCAAAACAATGGATTCAAACTACTGGAAAGGAGATTTTGCCTGAACATTAGGAAGAACTTCCTGACTCTGAGAGCTGTTCAGCAGTGGAACTCTCTGCCCCGGAGTATGGTGGAGGCTCCTTCTTTGGAGGCTTTCAAACAGAGGCTGGATGGCCATCTCTCAAGGGTGCTTTGAATGCGATTTTTCTTCTTCTTGGCAGGGGGTTGGGCTGGATGGCCCACACGGTCTCTTCCAAATCAAAGATTCTATGATTTAGAAAGATGTTTTTGGAGTTCTTGATTACATGTTCTTTGCATTCTTACTTCACTAATCACCTAGCACAATTATTCTGCATGCATAAGTATTTCTGTGTTGCTCTTGTGAATTCTACTTTGGTTTCACTTGCTTTGCATACATCCCTTAGCAGCAATCATAACGAACAGTTCAAAATCTCCTCCCCCAAATTAAAGCACCCAGGAACAAGATACGTTTTTAGATCCAGAAGTGGAGGAAGTCAAAATTCCATATAATACTTGTGAGTGGCAATCAAGAGGATCGAGTGCCCTAAATATAGAAGATATTCATGAATCAAGTGGTGCTTGGTAGGGTGTCCTGGACACATACTTCATGCTAATCAGTTAATATTTTACAGAGGAAGGCTGGCTAATGTTAAAGAATTACTGGGCATTTTCCTGCCAAAACATCTGGCTCCTGTCTGAATGCTGACCAGACATAGCCAAAATTGCATTTAACATTCCAAGCTGAAGGAGCACTCTGTGTATATTAGTGTTTTTGTGTGCTTGATTCATAATGCTGCCAAACAGTATGTGAGCTGGACAGTTTTATATGCCAAATGAGGTAATTATGAATTGCAGCAAAGTTGTTCTGTATTTGTGCTCGCTCCACGCTGGCTATAAATAAGCTGCCAACTCCCAGGAAAAAGATATTTGGGTATCTAGGGGGTTTTCTGAAAGCATCCTTTGAAAATGATTTGAATGTGATTTTCCTGCTTCTTGGCAGGGGGTTGGACTGGATGGCCCATGAGATCTCTTCCAACTCTATGATTCTATGATTCTATTATTAGTATAGGATAAATTATAAATACCTGCAGGAAAAGCGAGAAGATATACTTGTGGAGTTTGCACCAATTAAAAAAAAAGTCAAAAATGAGTTATAGGTGGCGGCACATTATTGGCTAGGAGTAGAATATTATGTGCAGATCAAAACTATAAAAAATTATCAAACTTTGGTACAAGGTTTGGAAAATTGCACTTTATAGTAAAAAAATACATGTCCTTACTACGTGTTTTTCAGTTCCTTTTAAAAAAATCAGATGGATTTGGTACCTTTTGGAAAGAAGTTCCACAATTAGTTCTAAGGAGCAAAAGCGATTGCTGATTCATCTCCTCTTATGTCTTAAACCTCCAAAAGATATAAAGCGGAGTAACATAAAAAGATGTGTCTGGAAGAACACATAAAGAAGATCAAAGGGCTTGGGCCCAGAAAAAAATGAGATGGGGAGGAAGGGAGATATGGTGCATTGGGGAGAAAGACAAAAGAAATCCAAATAGCTCCCATTCCCATTTCTTAACTTAGAGAAACACTATCCATTTGGAAGGTATTCTGAGCAAACAACATTAGGTGGGTATTGGATGAATGAATAACTCTGAACTTGGGCCACATACTTCAGAGGAATGTGCACAAAAGAATTTGTGATAGAGTTCATGTTTCATCCCCCATTCTGTTGCAATCACCAGTACTCAGCATCCAACTATGATCTGAGTTGGATTGCCTAGCAGCAGTTCTTTCTAGGATGGAGGGTGCCGATGTACTCACAACCTTCTTTTGGGATTCTTACAGGTCTTTGCTTGGCTGAATGCTAACTAGATGGATCTTTTAATGGATCCAGGTCAGCTCTGCTTATATTCTCACAGGGGAACACATGATCTAATTTCTGTTGATGAAGCTACTTTTTAATGTATATCAAAAAGGAACTGATTTCCCAATTCCAGGTCTGATTCAATGATTCCTTTTAGCTCCAAACTCCTGTGCTTCCCCAGGTTTTGAACTATTTAGGCCCCTTGGCATTCATCTGCCCTATTTCAAGGCATTCTCTAATATAAAACAATCAAATTAAATTGAAAATTGCCAGCTGAGGACCAAACCACATGAGATGTAGAAGGGCCATAATTGGATCTCCTGACATTTCCATTTTTGGTTAAAAAGTAGCTATGGAGCATTCAGTTCTGATTGGTGCGCTGACCCTGAGAAGGATGTTAACCCATTCTCCAGGTTTTTTTTGCAATCAAAATTGCCCCTGGCTGTGGATTTCTTGTATATTATGTAGTTTGATCATTACATTGGCTTAATAGCATTTTTGCCCTCTTTGGTGAGCCCTGGAAACTAGTTCTCTGAAGGAGCTCAAAATAATTGTTAGCATTTTGAGTAGAGAACAATTTGCAGAATTGTTTGTAAGAATTGTTTGTAAGAATTGCTTGTAACAGTGTTTGAACTTTAAATATGCCCACCCCATCAATACTTCACAGGAGGAATAGTCATATCAGTCATTTTAAGGTCATATTTAAGCTAGCAGACCTTTTTTTGTATCAGGTGTGGCGAGAAACTACAAGTTGCTTCTGGTGTGAGAAAATTGACTGTCTGCAAGGACGTTGCCCAGGGGATGCCCGGATGTTTTGATGTTTTATTATCCTTGTGGGAGGGTTCTCTCGTGCCCTGCATGGGGAGCCGGAGCTGACAGAGGGAGTTCATCCACACTCTTCCCAGATTCGTATCTCCGACCTGTCAGTCTTCAGTTCTGCTGGCACAAGGGTTTAACCCATTCCACCAGCGGGGGCTCCTAGCTAACAAACTGATGTGTTGATCCTTCCCTAATTCTACTCTGTTTTTCACCTCCACTAATTGTTTCCATTTTCCCCTGCTATAGGAGTCCGGGGGCCTATTTTCAAAGGCTCATCAGTGCCCCGTATAATTGGTCCTGATGGTCCACCAGTTGGTGCAGTGGAAGAACCACAATTTGGAGAAAGCCAAAGGAGTGAGATAGACATATCTGATTTAGGATCTCGCAACTATGGAGCAAGGACAGACTTCTACTGCCTCGTAACAGAAGATGATATATAAGAGATGATGGGTTATTCCTGTGAAGCTCAAACCTTTTCTTAGAATGATGTTCCTTGACAAAGACAATCTTCCCCACTTGTTTCATTAATCCAAAACAACAGTATGGGGTATTACAAGGCTATAGCATGGACATGATTCTCTCCATATTCAAGACTTCTTTTATTCTTTTCATGAGTTACTTAGGTAAAGGGATGGAGGGAATCCCATCAATATTTCAGATGTTACCATACCAAAGGGATTATAATGAACATCTCAGTCAGGAATAAAATTAAAAATAACTTCAATACAATGAAAAACTGGCAGAAACAAAATAGTAATTAGTTATAAAGTTCTGTATTTATGTGTGTAGACAGTGGATACGTGGGTTGGAAGTAGCACATTGGAAAAGTCTTCAGATTACAATCGCTCATTAGCTCATCATGGATTAGTAGTGTGGTGTTTCTCCAAAAACAACTAAATTGATGATAGGGTATATAACTTGGAACTATTTTTTAAAAAGTCATCAGAAGGTGCTCTTCCACTTTATTATACATTAATCAAATCATCCAATTTGGATGCTGCACTTTGAGTAGAAGGCTGACTTCTCAGAATAGGCTCAAGGAGACCAACAAAGATGGAAAATAGGTTCTTTGTGGAATGATGGGAAGAAGTGTGGGAGTATTTAGTTTGACAAAAAGAAGACCAAGGGTGGGTACAATAACGTCAGTACTTGAAAAGCTCTCATGCAGAAGGGGGCAAAGACTTCCCCTGCCTCATAAAGCAGGACTAAGTTTAATGGGATTATGTAATAGAAAGGTAAATTACTTTTGAAGCTGAGGAAGAATGTCGTGCTGGTAAAGAAGATGCTTAGGGACAGTATCTGTTAATTGAGGGCGTAGTTCATCCTCAAAGGAGAACTTAGCTATCTACCTGTCTTTTTTGGAGGTGGCTTCAATTTTCCTTTATTATCTAAGTGGCCTTCTATCCTTCAGCCATCTCATCCTGATTCTGTACTACTTCAACACTGTGATTGCTTCAGGGTGTTTCTGCCAATGATTCAAGAGCATCTGGCTACTTTGTAGATACTAGTGCCTTATGGTCTCCAGTGATGTTCTTGAGTTAGACTCCCATGCTGGTTTCTAGCAAACTAATAAGTTTGGTGGGCTTCTTAGCTATTGTTAGCATTTCTGGGTAGGCTCCATCATTTAAGAAACAGGTGGTGAGTATTCAGGTGAACAGAACCATAAAAGGACATTATTCCTGGGAAAATGATATTAAGTAGCACCAGTGTAATGGCGGTAACATTTTAAATAGAACTTGCCTGGAATGGCAGTTCAGTTTCCAAATTAAAAGGAGTTCTGAAAGCCAGCTCCTACCGGGAAAGGCAAGAAGAGTTTCATGTTACCTGACTGTCACATTTCCTTTGAAATAAGTACTAGCATGTCTACACAGACTTGTTTCCATGTAAGTACATTTGAAAGTTCAGCTTTAGCTTGCACTTTTACCACTGGATTGGTATCTAAGATGAAAAGAGTGTGCTTATAATAGAATGTTTTGTTTTGTATTCAAAGTTCTATATGTACGTGGCACTTTAAAGGAAAAGGGATGACAGGATACAACCCCAAAGGGCTTAGCGGAGACACAGCAAAACAAAAGAAGATGGGGAGGGAGGCATGGGTGGATAGAGAGAAAAATGTGTTTATCTCAATTAAGCTTTATTTGGCCTAGTTACAAAATAGTAATAGATACTTCTGAGGGCATGTGTTTAAATGGTCAAGAAAGGAAAAGGCTGTATTATTTTGGTGGGTGTGCATCAATTCCAAAGGGATAAGGAAAAGGAAAGCAGGGATGAAAAGGGAGGAGATTTGCTTGAGATAGGGCAGAGGGGAGGGGGGGGGGTCGCATTTACAAAAGGTTGCCTCAGACAGCATCAGAACTTAGAGAATTTAGAGCCTCAAGCAGTTACTGAAGTTGTGAGAGTGTCCAAAAAGCAAGGTGAAGACAATTTGCCCAAGTGGTTGTGGGAACATTGGACACTGTCAAATTATCCAGGACCTGTCTGTCAATTGCTGGAGTTCATCTGATCAAACCACAAGAAGGACATAGTTTATGGTGCAGAGAGGCTTTGTGATGCAAGGATGTTGAATGTCTAGGGTAATGATACATGGCTGGATGTTCCTTTATGGCCTAGCTATTGAAATACCCAAAGGGTTCCTTGCCAGGCTAACAGGATAGAAAGTGGTGGCAAGCTCTTTTAGTACATTTCTTTGTGACTCCACCACAAGAAAGGCTAAAATTGCAAAATTAGCATTTCAGGGGGTCTTTCTTTGGCTGTATTTAATAATTGGTATTGTTTGGCCCTAAGCAGCTCCCACGACGGCTGCTTTCATATTGAAAACTCAGAATTCAAATAAAAAATGGAATTTTAATCTAGTTGTATCCTATTTCTCTGTCTTTTACTTCTAACTGTGTGACATAAGCGTAGCAGGTCAGGTGAGGTGATGCTCTTAACTAAAGCCATCACTTAGAAAAACATGAAGTTCTGCAAGTGATTACTGAGATGTGTCCTAAAACAGGACCAAGTAGCTTGGGGATGGGAATCAGATCACTCTGCAGATATTTGTAGAATGCAAGTCCCATCAGCTCTTAGAAACAAATGCAGAATTCTAGGAGTTGGAGTTTTAGAGGGCTGCTTATGTAAATGTTGCTGAATAACTAGGGAAGGATGTATAAGTGTTTTACTATCTCTATGCATATCAAGAGATCAAATACCAAGATTGTTTTTTTTTTTTACTAAGAACACGAGGATTATTCAATCCAGTGGTTCTAAAAGTGTGCTCTGTGGTTCCCTCCCCCTTCTCCCTCCAAAAATCCAATTTCCCTCCCACTGCTCAGGGTGTACTTTGATTGTGGTTTTCCTGTATGTCAGAAGGGAGTTGAACTGGATGGCTCCGGGGCTGCTCCTATTACTATTACTATTACAAAAGCTGGATGATGGTGCTTTGACTGTGCTCTTCCTTCATGGCAGACGAGAGATGTACTAGATGGGCCTTGGAGTTGCTCCTATTACTATTATTATTACAAAAGCTGGATGACCATCTGTTGGGGGTGCTTTGATTGTGCTTTTCCTGCATGGCAGAGGGGGGTAGATTAGATAGCTCCTGTAATCTTCCACTGAAATACTGTTAAGTTTATGTTGGTCAAATATTTGCCCATGCCATCCATACACACACACACACATACATACACACACAGGCAGATCTCGAGTTACAAACATCTGACTTACAAACATCTGACTTACAAACGACTCCTAGTTGCAAATGGGGATGAGACATCAGGAAATGAGAGAAATCTACCTCTAGGAAGGGAAAGTCACTCCTGAAAGAGTTATCATGGAGAAAACGTGTCTCCACTGAAGCTTTCTCGCCAACCCTTGTTTCCACAACAAGCCAAAATTTTCAAAATCCCATTATCACAAGGACAGAGTGAGGTGAAATTTTCTGAACAGGAGCACAGACAGAAAAACAAACACTACAGGGATGTTAACCCTTCCCTATGCTATCCAAAGCTAATATATATCTGGAGTTACACTTAAAACATGTACCTGTCCTGACTTACAAACCAATTCAACTTAAGAACAAACTTATAGAACCTTGCTTGTTTATAACATGGGGATTGCCAGTATATCCAAACATCTTTGGTCCCTGGGAAAGTCCCAGACAGAAACGGATTTTGATAGTGGAAATATGAAATTTCGGGAGGAAGCTTTGTTCCTTTTAATACCAGTGGGTTGAGGATAGTTCTTTATTCCACTTTTGAATATTGGTAGGTATTCTTTATCACAGTCTATGTTTCATAATTTTGTACACATTCAGCCACAATGGCAGAGGTGCTAAGGGAACATGTTAGAAAATTACAAGGCTATGTAACTGGACACCAGCAAGTGTTCTAATGTAGATTGACCCAGTTGTACTTCATTGGCTCTCCTACATAGCCATGTAACAACAGCCCTTTTTGGAAAAATTAATGTTGTAGAACCGGTCAGTTCTGTTTCCTGCAGTTGTAAGTCCACTTAACAAAGATGCAAGTCTCCAAATGAGTTTTGGTCACTGTTTTAATTTTTTAAGTGTATTTTTTCCCTTCAGGACCTTTTGAAAAAAGGGTCTTGGCAGTTTTCCTATATTTTTGCTTACACTGTGGATGATAATCTGTATACAACAAATGAAATTGCCACTCCATTTTAAGGAGCTTCATATATGAGTTACAGTGTATTTGAACAAACACTAAGAATTGGCATTGTTTTGTAGATTCTTTCATTGTTGTAAACTGACAGCAGAGGAAAGAAAAATAAGGCAAGTCAAAAAAGAAAATAAGGCTATTGCTATAACCATTAAAATAAACAAAAATAGAAATGTCTTTGAATACCTAAGAAGCAGGAAACCAGCCAAGTGGACAGATGGATAATTAAATAACGGGAGGAATAAGACTGCTATTGCTAAAATTGAACAGGGAGATGGTTGAAAAGGTGAGTTCTTTGCATTGGTCTTTAGGGGAAAGAATATGTTAAGTATTCATATTTACCTGAATTTTTCAGAAAGATGGCTGAATAAATGGTTTCAAAACTAGCTGACAAGTAGGAGCTTTTCAAATCCTAATGATACGCATACAAATACCATTATTTGTAAAGAATTCATATAAAATAGGTGAAATTCAAAACCATATGCAAAATGGTATTAAAAAGGGGCTCTTAACTCAACATTTAGAGGAGGTGGCTCAGACCAGTGGTTCTCAACCTGTGGGTCCTCAGGTGTTTTGGCCTACAACTCCCAGAAATCCCAGGCAGTTTACCAGCTGTTAGGCTTTCTGGGAGTTGAAGGCCAAAACATCTGGGGAACCACTGGCTTAGACCATGCCTCAGAGGTGGAGAACCTATGGCCTTGAACCCCCAGCTGACATGTATAAGGGGAGATGTAATACAACATCTGGAAGGCCAAAAAAGCTTTGTCAGTGTAATGTTGGAGCTCTATCATTACAGCTACATCACATTCCAAAAGCATACCTTTGCATTCTGACAGCAGAAATCACTCAGGATCCTGCCACAATGTTTTGCCAGGGCGTCCTGTGACCAGGAGAGTGCTGCAGAGGTTGTCTCTCTGCACCCCACTCTCCAGTGCCCAAGAAATACTACTTTGGTCAGGGTGCTGCTGCGTTGCAAAGGGAGGGTTTGGGGGCACGCTTGGACATTCTCAACTGTAATCCTAAATCCCCAGAAGTTACAAGACTTTAGGGAACCCCATCATAGGGTTTTCTTGACAAGATATGTTCAAAGTGGTTTTTGCAATATAAATCCAGTGTGACTTGCCCAAGGTCATAGGGGGTTTGCATGCCCAGGTGGTGATTCAAACTCTGGACTCCAGATTCCCACCAACCAAACCACTGCACCATGCTGGCTGTTGAGCCTGTCTTCACTATATACCTAAAAGGTTTATATTCATTAAGTTTCATGTTTTCCTTGAAGAATCCTAGGAACTGCGGAGTTGTGAGAAAGATTATCTCAGCTTCCTGCCCTTTTCTCCCTGGCAGTAACCATGTTCAAGATGTATCACAAAGTTGTGAGAATTCTATTAAAAATTCTTAGGCCACATCATGGGACCATAATTTTCAACATTCTCTGGAGCAAGGGATATTTGAAACCAACTTATTGTCTACTATGGATAGGCCATGCACATATCTGGAGCATCCCAGGGAGAAAAACAGCCATCAATGGTCAAAGCATTTATATTTATTTAATAATATGAAGGAGCCTGCTGAACATACAACAACATGCACTGAAGTACAAAGTTGAGCATGCCCAAACTAGGCAAGAGTTTGTTCTGTTATTGTCCCCTGTATGTTACTCATGCAGAGTTAACATTCAGAACAAAGTCCATCTACATGAGTGCAAGCAAACCAATGCAAAAAATGACAGGGTTTAAAAAACTTATTACTGCATAGGAGACAGAATTTTGGCAGATGCACATTGTTAATGCAAGTATTAGAAAAGCTGAAGCATTCAATCACTGTCTTTTATCTACTAACCCCATATCCCATTGCATCTGATTATCCTGTAGAGGTGGGATTTCTTGTTGAACTGCAGGTTCTAGTTGCCCTAGTCAGCATAGGCAATGATGGGAGATTCCAGGAGCTACAATGCAACAGCTGCAAGACAGTGTCATTCCCCCTCTGGATCTCTGTGCAATGACTCTATAATAGGTCCGGGGGGGGGGGGGGGGGGGGGGGGGGGGGGCTTTGGTTGTTGTGGACGGAGAAAGGGAATCCCCACCTCCAACTGATTCCCAAAAAGGCATACACAGGTGTAATGCAGGCTTACTTGTGCATATGCCACTATTCTTCCATGCTTGATCTCCTCTCATAAAATAAAGCCAATGGCAATGTTGTAAGGCTTTATGGTCTAGGTTTTCCCCAACAAAGTCCATTTCAAAGTCCATTCTCCAAGATAGTCCATTTCATTCCTTAGAGAATTGCATTCATATAAGCAAACAGTACTTAGTTGCTTTGTTCATAGTGTGTTTTTTTATTGTAGTGCTATTTTATCCACAAATTGGGCCATAGGAATAGTTTTTTTCTTTTTAAGTTAGAGAGCTGTGTCTTTTAAGCTTTAATCCTCCAAGTTTTTTTTTTTACTTCAACTCTCAGAATGCCTGAGCTCTGCCCAAACATTCTGGGAGTTTTGGGAACTGAAATGCAAAACATCTGGAAGGCCAGATATTGAGAACAAGGTTTCAACTCCTGTATCCAGGAACTGGTGCGAGATATTTCCAGGAGATTTTTTCAAATGTAAGATGCCAAGTGCTGAACACCAACAAAAACCCGCTTCCTTTCTTGTGTTCTGTGCATCCACCACCTAATTCTGATTTTCAGAAAGCTATGTAAAGTAGGTGAGGCTTCAGAGCCTTGGAGTTAAGATTCATAAAGGAAAACACCCCCTCAAAACACTGATAAAGCAGCCCCGAAACCCACCCCAAATGACATGCAAACCCTTATAGTTTTAGAGAAGGACATATTCTATATACAGTATATACAGGACAGTTTGCTCACACCTTTATTGCCCCTTGGAACCATATGGGCTACCCATTAGATTGAGCAAAACGTGGACACCAATCAATACTATATCCAAATTTTAACATTTACAGAAACAATCTTAAAGCCAAACTCCCAGTATTAGAGCCAGAGGCCCATCATGAAAGGCACAGTGTGCATCCTTCCTTTGATATGGATGGATCCCAAAGGCTGTTGCTGGCTTATGTGAAAGGCAGCAGAGTCAAGATTGCAACTATTCAAGTAAAAGAAATCCTGTCAGTGGCTTTTAGTGAAGGGAGATGAGAACTGGGAGATTGGCGGGCTAAGGCACACCAATATTGCTTTCTGTAAGTCATAATGCACATCTTTGTAGTGGAACTGCCATCAGAATCTACAACCTGGAACTTGTGGTATACATAAGTAGGATTATAATATTGTCCTTTGATCCAGTCTGCTGAAGGAATACTCTAATAAAGTTGATAATGGAACACAAAAACAACTTTGCTCACAACAGGACATTTAATTATGTGTTAGGTAGGGTACCTTTATTAAATTTCCCTCTGTGTCTACTAGTATGCTATGCTTATTCCCCTCTGTGTGTGGTAGTGCTATGGGTTTTTTTAAAGAACCCAGCCACGTGGTTCCTTGCTTGATTTTGCTTTTTTTTTGCTTAACACAGCAAGAAGCAGTAATGGGGTATTAGCTACGGAACAGCTTTAGTACACACAAAGCCATCTTTGTGATTTTCAGGTCTCGTACAACTAAGAAAAGGTGCCTGTTCTAATACTCATCCCGCAACTCTAACTCAATGAGCCAGCCTTCATGTATCTTACTATTTGTACTTCTGGGAAATAGCTCTTTCCCACTATGTTAGAGGAAAATGCTAAATACAAACATGGTGCTGTGCTGTTAAGAGTTCGGCCTGAGGCTCACAATAGGTGCTTTCCCCTATATAACAAGAGATTTCATATCTATGGATAGCACTCTCATAACAAAGGAGTTTCCCTTATTTAACAGCGTGAGCATCAAGGCTATTGAAGATATTGCCAGTGCTGTTAACCTGGCAACATTCAATTTCTAGATGAACATTGTGGTCCAAAGCTTTACCTTGTATTTAAATACATTTCAGTGTGGTGCAATCCCTGGCACTTCACATCCGCCAAGACTATCTCAGCTGCACGGAGGGAGTAAAATGATATACAGACCACCTCAAGATGGCCAACTTGAAGAGATGATATACAGACCACCACCAAAGACCAACTTGAGAATGCCATTCTAGACAGCAGGTTGTAAGGCAGCCAGTGCTCATTTTCCATAATTTTACTCTTAACATATTTTCTACTAAGGGAGAGGATTTCTTAGCATGAAAAAAATCTTCAGAAAAATTCTCAGTAGTGGATAGTGGCCACATCTGGTCACAAGTGTTCACGCATAACATAAGTGGTCTAATGTAGCATCAAAAATATCAATATATTCAAACTTAAATATCTTAGCCATTTAGAATGGGAAAAGTCTCGTACAAAAACTAAAGAATCATGAAATGCAGTTATTATGGGGAAGGGCTGGATTGGGATTTTGGGAAGGCCAGATTTTGCCACAAGGCCTGAAATTCTCTACCTTGCTTCACAGACTCTGTATCAACTAATGAGGATTAGAGCTAATGGATATGTGTCTCATCAGATAATTCTGTCTTCACAACCCTTATTGTTTCTGACCTAATTGACAAAATTAATGAAAACTTCCACCACTTATCTCCATTTAAGGATGGAAAAGTTGCATTTGTGGATCATTACTCCCAGACCTTCACAATCCAGCATGTCTGTTGATTGTTGGAAGTTGTAGTCCAGAAAAAGTAATCCCAAATCCTTAAGCTGTGTATGGATTTATACTACAAAACATGTTTCCCTACTTCTTGGTAAGTGCAACTTTGAACCTTGCCAGCGCCCTTCAAGTCCCATCAACTTTGATTGAGTCACTAGCAACAAGTGGATTTTTCCTACTAATCCAGACATAAACTTGTTTATCATGAAAATCTATTCATTCTTTTTGTTCCTCATAATAAGACACCCCAAATTCTTTAAAACTGAAAGCAAACCATTCTTTTTTAAAGGTTCCACAGGATGTAGGAATAACACAAGCAACTGGCAGCAACGGTATTGGGAGAAGAGAGCAAGAGGCACAAACTAAGCCAGACGGAAGGAGCCAGGGATGACTCAAGCACCTTGGAGGCCTTCCTTCAGCATCCTGAGCAAGCCTGGAAGTCATGCTCTGACATCAGCACCCACAGTTTCCAAAGAAACTTGGAGGTCTTTGAGCATTCAGTACATGAATTTTTTGTGCAGACTCAAGAAGCCCTGAGAATTTGCTTGGACTTGCATCTTTAGAGTGAAGAAATGCCTTTGTGAGATAAAGTGGTCAGGAAAGGCAAATGAACTTTTTAAGAGGCTTGAAAAAGAAAGAAAAAAGAATGCAAAAATGCACATCAGGCAGACTGGACTGAGATCTATACAAAAGAAGGCACTGTGCAGAAGAAGTTTCATGAAGGAGAGGCCACAGTTCATGCTGGAGCTTTATAGACATTTTTGTGTGTGGAAGAATTAGGTCTGAACAGTCCATTTTCTTCGTGCTCTTTTCTTTATAGGCCTATGAAGTCCTCTTTTCGATAGCCCTTCTGTAAAAATACATAAAAGCTTTGTCACATAAGGGTAAATCATGAATTGAGCATATACCTAAGGCCAAAAATAGCACAGCATCTGAAAAGAGGTACTGATATAGACGTCATTCATTCCTGTGCAAAGGCAGCTGGTGGCTTCTGTGTAACTAAAGCAGTGAATGTACTCTGGAATCAGTCCACTAAATGAATGTTTCTAAAGTCCAGAACCTAATAGTCAGATAGGGCCCAGCACTGTGGGATGCTTCTTTTCACTTCAGACTAAAACCCAGAGAAGATATTGTCTGCCACTAACATGGAAGCCATTAGCTGTTAGTCTGTGATATCTCTATAGACCATAATCCATATCAGGATAGAATCTCCCCTTCCCTTCACTCTGCATTTCCCCATTAATGATGTTCCCTGCCTTATTGCATCTCCAGCAGAGGAAACTCAAGCACTCCGACATCTGTGTTCTGAAACAAGGGCTACACATCATCCTCTAATGATGTTCTTAAACAGAAGACTGAGAAAAATAAGCAAACATCCTAAAAATAAGTGTTGCTTATCAAGCCTGTTGACATGTATTTGTAGGCGCTCACCATGACCCTTGGAATAAAACTGCAAACTAACCACCAAGCTGTTTGAGTGAATACAATTACTTTCTACCGTGGAAATAGTAAAAAATTGTGACTCATTGTGGAGGGGTAACACAGAGCACATCTGAGTGTGCTAATGCCTGTTTAGTGTTGTGAAGCTAAGCATAGAAGCACTATTTACTAAAACTGGGAAACCTCAGTACAAAGGGAGCAATGTGTGCCTGTAGAAATAGGGCTTTGAGTAGGTGCATGTTTTCTTATGCTTGCATGGAAAGTCATACTAGCTGATATTTATTAGTCCAAAAAAGCCCACTATATAAAACCTTGATTTCCCATGGCAGTTGATCATCTTAGAAAGGGGTGGTAGAGGAATGTGACTGTATGGGAGGGCCTTTTGTGTGATCTGTGCACACACCCACCCCCCAATTCTGGATCACATCTCTAGTGACTCTCAGGATGACTGAAACATATTTCCAAATCCCAAGGTACATTAAAATGGATGAGTGCAGTCTATGCAGGGTGAAAGGTAGGTAGCAAAGGTATGCGGGATTTTCCACCGTTAGGAATAGAATATCTATCCTATAAGATGCCTAAGATAGAATAATTTTCATTCTATTGATATGAACTTTCAGAAAAGATAGGAAAATGCAGGTATCATTGCAGGGCTTGAAAGTGAAACACACTCCTTATCCTCAGGTTCTGGGTCCACAGATTCAGCCAACCCTGGCTCAAAAATATTCTTTTTTTTTTCAAAACAGAAAAACTAGATTTTGCCACACACTGAACATTATGCTAGTTTGTAGGTATAGCCTAATGTAACCTCCCATAATTTCAGAAAAACTCAAGCTCTCTGTCCTTTTGAGTTGTTCACTATTTTATATAAGGTACACCATTTTACTACAGTACTATATGTAATGGAACCTGAGCATCCTTGGATTTTGGTATCCACGAACCGGGGGAGGGGGGGGGAGAGAAACCAAACACCAGCAGATGCCAAGGGTCCTCTGTAAAGTCTGCTCATCAGCACTGAGTAGGAAATCATTATCTAAAATGCACTGAAAAGTGGAAGGAAAGGAGAGAAAAAGGCCATACCGACTTGTAGTCCCGATGAAGCTTACTGTACTGCCACATATTGCTCAGGAGGCTGGTAGCAGCTCTGGAGGACTTCTCACTCTCTGAGCTGGAGAGAGAAGAGAGATGTAACATGTTGTGAGGCAGGGTCATGCTTGCATCTCCTCCATGAAATACTGGTGCATTTCACACCAGCTTGCCATCAGTGAACATCCTAGACTGATGCCCCAATCTGATACATATTCTCATGGGAATGAACTCTACAGGGATTACTTCTAAGCAGACATGCACAGGGGCACATTGTTGAGGTTGCAACCTAAGAAGCTCTATTCAGAAATATTAATTTCATAGTAACTTTGAATTATGACAGTATTGACGTGAAGTGTGATAAATTTCCTCTGAAGTATTTTAAATAGAGGAAGGGTAGCTATCTGTGAGGACTGCTTTGATTGAATTGGGTGGCTCTTGTAATCTTTTCCAATTATATGATTTTATTATATTTGGGCTGCAACTCTGGAAAAAAAGGTACTTCATCAAGAAATGGATCCATAATATGGGGACATACTATAGGGGCAAAATGAGGGCATTTGCCTCCCTAAATATGAATTCTGCTCATCAAATAAACATTTCTTTCTGTCTCCAGAGGTCTAACATTGCAGTGAGTGAATTAAAACAATTCACACCTATAACTGTTATATTTTCTGTATTTGCATTCCTTTGGTAATGTCAACTATGTTTTAAATTACTGCAGTACTAGAAATGCAAGAACTGAAAGAAAATTCGGGAGTGGGTAAGGCAGAATCTTTTTTTGAAGAGGCAATGTCCTTATTCTCTTATTCTTTATTTACTTGGTAGGAATATATCTAATGTTGAGATAGTTTCAATGGCCTTCAATTTCTGCTGCTGAGACTGCAAATGTAAGAAGGGGAGGTGCATGCTGAAGCAGGGGACAGAAGGCAATTAGGATAAAATATGTCTCTCAAAATGTAATTCTGAAAGAAGGAGAAGGAAGCTCTTAGCCATAATTCCCACCTGTCCCTTTTCTTTTTGATGTAGAAGAGCTTCCGCAGGCCGTCAAAGTAGACAATATCACGGGCAGCAATGGGACTTTCCACAACCAAATTGTTCAGCACTGCAATGATGTTGACAACCACATCTGTTGGAGGCCACTTGTCTCCAGAGCTACCTGGGAGCTTCTCAATCAAATGGCTCACCACTTTGGTTGCTGCCAATCCAAAAAGAAAACAGTTCAGGAATGCAGTTAAAGAAAAGTACAGATCTCAGCGCAGGTACAGGGAGTAAGAAGGTTATTGTGTCCAAAGGGGCAGCCCAACCCAGATTTTGCCCAGGCCCTGGATGTTGGCCTTCACTTTGCTTGAATGTGCACTCACACATCTCATCTTTGTTGCGTGCATTCCGGGACAGGTTGCGAATTAGACCCGTTAGAGAGCGAAGCTGGTTATGGTCGGCCGTGCGGACTCTGTCCAGCACTGGATTGAGGATTCTCTCTTGCTCCAAAGCCACTCTGCTCAGGACACCTGCCCACTACGAGGGAGGAGGAAGAAGAATTCGAGTCAACAAAGGAGGATGACCCAGCAGCCGGTTCAGGCTCAAGAAGAGAGAGAGAACTTTCTATATAATACTGGAATCTCATGTCTGGATAGTGGGAGCAAGCTGAACAGTGGCAGGTTTGCAATAGACAAAAGCAAACGTCCCTCTACATAGCCAAGATATGGAATCCATTGTCACAAGTGCTATGGTGGCCACCACCCTAAGTTTTGAAAGCAGCTGAAACAAATTTATTGATACAAAAACTAGCTGTGATTAGCAGTCAAGGTAGCTACATTCATTCTGGAGCATCAAAGGTAGAATGCCTTTGAATACAAGTTGCTGGAGAACATGAGCCATAGGGTGCTATTGTATGTCTGTCCCTGTTTTTGAGCTTGAGTGGACAACTATATCAGGGACAGGGAAAAAGCTTTATCCTATTCCTTTCCTGCAAACTGCACAGTCATACTGCAGCTAACCAGGGGATGTTGCAGACCTTTTTGGATTCTGACAACTGGGGAAGGGCTGTTTTATCATGACTGGTGGGTAGCTGGAGCAATGACATCCATACGGCTGAATTTGTTTGCTGTGATTTGGGCAATTAGCAGGGAACAAATGACCATTCCTCCATGTTAAATTTTGGGATCTAAAGGCATTGTGGAAGTTGTAAGATAAGCTTTGGGAAGTGCATGCAGTTGACATAACTTACTTTCTGCACCTCTGTTTGGATGCAGCTCCGATCACCGTTGCAAGAAAATTTGGGACTTGCAGGGCAATTCTTATGCCCTCACAGTCTCAAGGCTACCTGCTTGTAATTTGGGAAAATCCAATCTATATAAGGTTCTGCTCTGTGCTTTCCACAATGATCTAGTGCCACAGCATAGCAAGGAGAGAATAATTCATTGGCTGAAAAAGGAAGAGGGAGGAAAGCTTTCCTCCCTGCTTTGAATGTGGAAGTAAGTAATGGCAAGGTGTGGAATTAGTGCAGGCATTTGGCTGACCCTTCTCTCATCTGCTGCACTTCCAAGCCATAAAACTTCCTTGTGAGTATGCCTGCAGTCAGCATTGAAACACTGCAAGAGGTGGCTTAACCTGCTTCTCTACTTCACTTAATAAGTGCCCTATTGGTTATTAAAATCATTCTTCTATGGCTTCAGCAAGGCTCTGTCGTGTCTTTTGGTCCCTAAAGTAAACTTTCCCTAGGTTTCCCATTTCCAACACATCCACCAACTCTTTTGCTACAGGGAAGGGCAAACTCCCCGTGGCCACTCTCCTGATCCTGGAAAGGCCAGTCAGTGAGAGCTGTACAAAGAATGTTCTTCTCAAGAAACATGTTTCTCTCCTTGGGGCTTTAGGAACATTCAGACAGTGTCAGCATTACAGTATATGCTACTGCCGAGAGAGAGCGCAAGTTCAGGTTGGGAGAAGTTCTCCTAGCCTTTCACTTCATTGTAGCTCTTGGGACTGAGATCTTTCATCATTTGAAGACTCTGACTTAATATCCCTGTAATACTCTGTGGATAGAGAAGAAGATTCACAGTGTTGAGGGGCAAGTCCCTGCTCCAGGCCTACTTTTAGTTTGTTGTGATATCTTCAAAGTTGGCGAGCTTTAAAATAAAATACAATTGTGGACTGGAAATACATATCTTGAGCTTTTCCTCACTCTCCTTGATACAGACATTAGTTTGTGTCAGGGCAGTTAATAAGATCCATGGTGGGGAATTGTTTCGTGCGGTGATGTATGTAGCCGTACCCTTCTATCTCCTGCAGTGATGTTCTGAAGAGCCCCTGAGGCGGCCTCTGTAGTGTGTTTGTTTAGCTCACATCTCTGAAGAAGCCGGTTGTAGACTCCAACAATCTGTGGGTTCCAAAGCCACTCCATTCCCTTAGGATCCTTGGAGACTTCTGTAAAGGTCACAATATCTGAATTCATGTAGAGCTGGAAAGAAAAGTGAGAGACTACTTAATGGCTTGCCCTATAAGACTCCAGGGTATTTTCTCTACCAATCTAAAATATATCTCCTTCATACCTCCCACAGGGTCCAGCTCAATTCTGGCTTCCTTCAGAGTGAACTGTGCTTCCTACATTTTACATCTACTTCTGTCTGATCTAGTGATAATTCAAGTTTTTCGCTGGAATCTTATTCATTTTCTTTGTGTGTCTCATCTGCTAATTTTCCATCATCCAGGGTAAAAATACTGGTGAGGAGTTATCATTGGTGAACTTAGTCTCATATCTTTAGAAACAATTTCTTTTCTGGTATTTCAGCCTTATGAAAAGGGTCAAGTCGGCCTGGCCTGATCGGGAAATCCTTTCTACTAATTGTCATTGTTGGGTACTCACTGAAAGTTACACATCCTGTTGGATAATACATATTTTATACATTTTCAGGAATACACAAATAAACTTGTACTTTAGATCTATCAGGTACCTGAACCATGACACTGAAAACAAATGCTGGGATCTGAATCTAGTTGATGAGTCCCAATTAGAATAGATACAACTGAGTCAACTGCTGAATGTTGAGTCAACATATAAGTAAATCTTATTAATTCAATTGGAATTTAATAGTTAGAGTCAGGCCATTATGCCTTACCATCTTCTTGGTCAAGCTCCTGTCCTCATTCTATTCATAGCCTTTCTTGCCCTAATTTCCAGCACTCCCAAACAGGCAGTGTCATTACATGTCTTCCATCTTCTCCTGAAAACATCATTAATCTTCCTGCACTCACCTCTCGGGTCCTCCTGCTTTGTGGGCTGAAGCAGCCAACCAGCTCACTTGTCATGGAAGCCCCGTCACTCCTCTTATGCCCTTCTAGCCGTTGGAGTGAGGAAGGAGGCATCTCATCATAGAGGCGATAGGAAAGGTTGCGCAGTACACAGACAGCATTCTCCACGCTCTGTATGAAGAAAAAATATGTAATTTCTTAACAAGGATCCAGCATGGTATAGTGCTTTGATTATTGGATATGGACACCAGGATTTGAATTCCTGCTCAGGCATAAACAATCCTGTGTGATCCTGCCACATGTTCTCAGCTTCAGAGTAAGGCAATGTCAATCCCTTTCCAAAACAAATATTTTTGGGAAAATCCCAGCATATTGTCACTATAACTTACAACTAACCTGAAGGCACACAACAATAACAAAGGGGTAACACTTGCATTACTTTTCCCCTTGCAAATATTTTCTTCACTTTCTTTAGGCAATCCTTCAAGGACTTTTTGGGGGGTAGATTTTAGTTTTGCAGGTTTTTTTTAGTGATTGGTTGTACAGAAAAACGATGTTAATTGGAATCTTATATGACCACTGTACATTACGTAGCACCATAACAATGTTATTACTGCTAAGCAATGAGAGAGATCAGTGATAATCCATTTCCCTATAAATGGAGAATCAGCTGCCTGATATTCCTATCCCCTTCCATGAGCAGATGCTGGCGCAACAAACAAAAAAATGACCCTTGATTCAAATTCCCACAACACCAGATATATCTTACACAAGGGTGGGTGGGAACACCAGGAAGCTACCTTATCAGTTCCAGTGACTGTTTACCAGCAAGTAGAGTCTGAAGGATTTTTATGATCCCTACCTAATCCCTGAACACATAGCAGTTGTGAATGTGTTACTGTAGGTTATGCATTCACAATTACCCAAAAGATTTCTGGTCACTAATATTAATATTTTTTTACATTTAGATTTTCATTTCATTTTTTGCCTTAGGAAAAATATGGAACAGCTCAAAATATAAAGGGATTGATTTGGTTTTAAGATTTCTCCAGATGAGGAAAACATGTCAATAGATTGCCAGAGGTTGCAGTAGCTTCCAAGGATTTCTAAGAATAATAATACTGAAATGGCATTTCTGCTATCTCAGCACTAGCTACAACATTTCATTCTTTTTTTTAAAATTCTGTGACAAAAGGTTTCTCTCACTGTTTGCACATCCCCCACCACCCCGAGCTATGGTGTAGCAATGAAATGCCATAATTGCACTACAAGTCTTAAACAATTTAAAAAACATTCAGAGGAAGACATTTGTCTTTTCCGCCATAAGATTACCTCAGGAAAAAAGCATATCCTGCTTTCAAACAACCTTTGGAAGAGCTCTACTATGAATCCAAGAAATCACTACAAAGTGTGCCTCCCAAATGGAAGGAGTTGATGAAAAGTCAACACAAATAAGGCAAAATCTGATGAAACCTAATCATTTCACTTGCAAGAACTCTTGCTTCCTCTTGAAAGAGCTCTTAGTCATGATGCTCAGAGCAGAACCACTGAAATCAATGAGACATATGACCCCATCATATGCAATCTTTTCTGTGTCTTCTCCACAAAACAGAGTCCCACAAACTCCATCATATTACTCAAAACAACTTCTGGTGAGACTCCATGGAGCTCTGTTTCAGCAACATAGGGAAAGAGAGCCCAGAGTGCCTTTTGGAGAACACGGGGAGGAAGCGGGGAAACAGTTGGGAATGGATACGAGATGAGAGGCCATCCCAGAAAACAGTTTCCTTCACTTTCCCCCTGCCCCTCTGATGAGGTCCTTAGTTTAATCATAGCTAACTGAAGGAATATTGATTTTAGGAGGTTTACTCAAAATGAGAGTTAATCTGGATCTAGTCTAAAGCATTTAAAGATATCTTTTTGTTTAATAAACATACACAATCCCAATAATTTATTATTTACTTATCTAAATGTTTGCCTGAGGCTGCTTGCAATGAGAATATTAATTTGCTTTTAAGAGTACTTTATAAATGTCAACTTCAAGAAAACATATTCTTGGAAATATGGTCAGTTTATATTAATATAAATGCCTAGCCCACATTCATATCAAATATATTTTCCCCCTCCTTTTTCTCTTTCTCTTTTCTCATTCTTTTTCCTTACACTTTTAAAAAAATCCAATTAATTTTTTAAAAAGCAAAAAGGAATAGAGGCAGATTTATCGCCTGGAGACATCCACAATGCATTTCTGTCAAGGACAAGAAAGGATGTACAAATAGATTCCCAAGGAGCTCTTCTCTGAACAGTAACCTCCCATATCAGGCTGCATTACTATGTGCACGACCTGGAAGTGATATTAAAGTAAACGAGGCTTATTTTTGTTCTGTCAACATTTTGTAGAACAAAGGTAGAAATCATGCAGACCTCTAAATGTTGCTGAATTCCTTTCTACTGGGCATGCTGGCTAGGGCTGTGTGAAATTACTGTCCCCCAACCGCAAATCTAAGAATTCCTCACCTAACTCCCTACTTGGGAAATTTTGGGAACTATAGTTACAAATGACTTTCCCCCATATTCTTTGCTCTCTCAACATGGCACTCCACAAATAGCCATTTCAGAAGTCAGAAAGTCTGCATCTTCTCTAGGAAATTTATCATGTTTTGCCCTCATCAGTTATGTTAACAGGTCTTAAGAGACAGGTACCTTGCACACAGGATCACCATAATTAGTGTAAGGAATTTCCAGAAGACTAAACTCTGATTGTACAACTTGGGTCTGAAGTCTAAAAAGGAAATTCCTTCATTGCTTCCACCTAGGAAGGGCAACCAAACAGCTAATCGAAAGAGGTTTAACCACCAGCTTGGTTCTGGCATTTCAGGAAAATATTATTTTCCAGAACCTCCTAGCCGGCAAGGCCAATGGCCACACTAAGGGGGGGGGGGGGTCTGAGAGTCCAAAGAGGCTCTAGCTCAGTGGTGCTCAACCTGGGGGTCACGACAGCCCGGGGGGGCTTTTGGCCATTTTCTGGGGGTCGCCAAGCCGCATTGGCTAGCCACGCCATCTCCAAAATGGCGGCTGCAGGCAGAGCCACCCGCCCGCACCTCGCCTCCATCTTCCAGGTGAAGGAGACGGGAGGCGGGCGGGAGGCTCTGCCCGCGGCCTAGTCGCCACCGGAGCCTCCCGCCCGCCTCCCGTCTCCTTCAGCTGGAAGATGGAGGCGAGGGACGGACGAGTGGCTCCGCTCTGCAGGCAGAGCCACCCGCCCGCATCTCGCCTCCATCTTCCAGCTGAAGGAGACAGGAAGCGGGCGGGAGGCTCTGCCCACGGCCTAGTCCGCCACCGGAGCCTCCCGCCCGCCTCCCGTCTCCTTCTGCGGGTTGAAGATGGAGGCGAGAGGTGGACGAGTGGCTCTGCTTGCAACTAGGCCGCAGGCAGAGCCACCCGCCCGCACCTCGTCTCCATCTTCCAGCTGAAGGAGATGGGAGGCGGGTGGGAGGCTCTGCCCATGGCCTAGTCACCACCAGAGCCTCCCGCCCGCCTCCCGTCTCCTTCTGCTGGAAGATGGAGGCGAGGGGCGGACTGGCCATAACTGACAGGCAGAGCCATCTGCCCGCTCCTCGCCTCCATCTTCCAGCTGAAGGAGACGGGAGGCGGGCGGGAGGCTCTGCCTGCGGCCTAGCGCCACCGGAGCCTCCCGCCCACCCCTCGCCTGCGGCTTGAAGATGGAGGCGAGGGGCGGGCGTGGCTCCGCTTGCAACTAGGCCGCAGGCAGAGCCACCCGCCCGCATCTCGCCTCCATCTTCCAGCAGAAGGAGACAGGAAGCGGGCGGGAGGCTCTGCCCGCAGCCTAGCCGCCACCGGAGCCTCCTCGCCTGCCTCCCACTTTTGCCATTCGGCGAGGGTGAGAGGCGGGCGAGGGGGACTCGGTGCGAGGCCTAGCATCGCGCCAAGCCTGCTCGCCCGCCTCCTGCGTTCACTGTCGTTGGGATCCCTGAGCTGGTCGCAGGACCATCTGTTGTCCATGGGGCGTCTGTGTGGTAAGTTTGGCTCAATTTTATAATTGGTGGGGTTCAGAATGTCTTTGATTGCAGTAGAACTGTAAATCCCAGCAAGTATAGCTCCCAAATGTCAAGGTCTATTTTCACCAAACTCCACCATTGTTCACGTTTGGCCATATTTAGCATCCATGCCAAGTTTGGCCCAGATTTATCTTTGTTTGAGTCCACAGTGCTCTCTGGATGTAGGTGAACTACAACTCCAAAACTCAATTCCCATCAAATCCTTTCAGTATTTTCTATTTGTAATGGAGTTCTGTATGCCAAGTTTAGTTCAATTTCATCATTAGTGGAGTTCTGAATGCACTTTGATTGTAGGTGAACTATAAATCCCATCAACTACAACCCCCAAATGACAAAATCTCTCCCCCCCCCCCCAATCCCAGCAGTATTCAAATTTGGGCCTGCATATCAGATATTGACATATACAACCTGCATATCAGATATTGACATTACGATTCATAACAGGAGCGACATTACAATTATGAAGTAGCAATGAAAATAATTTTATGGTTGGGGGTCACCACAACATGAGGAACTGTATTTAGGGGTCACGGCATTAGAAAGGTTGAGAACCACTGCTCTAGCTTCTCAAATGGAGGACACAATGACAATCTTATGCAGATTGGTGACATGAACACAGCAAACTATCAATGGCTGCAGAAAAACCACAATCTAAAGACAGAGGAACACACAAAGAGAGTCTTCCCCTCAATGACTAATGCCAAAAAAAGGACAAAAACATTATCTACACCTCAGCCAAGACTATCAGTGTCCAGGAGAAAGCTCACCTTGTCTTCTGATTTGCCCACTTCCAGTGAGCTATTTATATAGTTGACCATGGAATCCACCAGGCCATGGCACTCACGCATCTTCTGCCGGGTTTGCTGGCTGGCAGAACTAAGGTTTCTACAAAGGAGGCACAAAGGTGAAAATCCTAATCAGGAACAGCCTGCTCTCACGCCTTAGCCAATCTGATTTCCTCACTTTCTCAGTTCACATATTTATTATTTATTTAAAACTTTTGTATCCCGATCTTCTCTACCTCCATAGAGGGACTCAGACTGGCTAACAGCAAGGATTCAATACTAACAATACAATCTAAAACATCGTACATCAACAATAAATTAAAATACACATAGACTAAAATATAGACATATACATATAATACCTGAGAAAGAAACAGTATCTCTCAGGGAAATGTTTCTTCCTGACCTGAAAGCTGGATGTGGACTGCAAGATATAATGTGGACCAAGTCTCTCTTTGTCAGGACAGTAAAATTAGATCCAGGCAAAGGAAAAGAAAGTTCTGTCAATCAAAATGACCCACATTGTGGTCCAGTGGAGAGCCCCGGGGGGTAATTGTATGCACCTCTAATAAGTGTGTGACTGCTTTACATTAAAAGTGCTGATTCAGTGTGGACTTTGATCAGGCACAGAAGTGCAGTGTGGTGATTAATAGGCGTCTTCCATCCTTTGATTCTGACCTAGATGTCTACTGATTAGGAGCCATGAAAACTTCAGAATCTGTGAATATGTGATGGACTAAGGAAAGGGCTGGATGAGGATAACACTTCCAGAACTTGGGTGAACAGCTTGCACTGTGGTCCATTTTATAATACCAGTGAAAGTTTAGAAGCAGGGGTGGGAATCATTCATCTGTTCAAACTCTGCAGGGTTGCAAGCATTCTCATCCTAGGCTATGCTGTTTGAGAGTTGCTAGGAGGTGCAGTTCAGCAGCATCAGGAGAGTCACACAATCCCCACTCCAGAAAACCATAGCACCTATCTTTATAAAATTTTGCTACCCAGTTTTCCTGGACAGATTTCTCATCTGGTTCCATCACCTGTGAAATATGCATTTCCTTTAGCTGGGGGACTACCTGAGGAATCCAGTGGCATTGTAGAAAATTTCTGCTTCGGAGGCATTTTGCTGGATAATAGCAGCATTGCCTGAGCCAGACAGAGGGGTCAGGACCAGGTCGGTGAGCTGTTCCAGGGTGTCACGAGCCAGGCGGTCCTTGAGGTTATCACTGGAGGAGAGATTCCAGAGGATACCTGTAGGCAACAAGAAAGGGGAAAGGACGACAATTTAATTGCATCTGTGTACCCTGCTTGGCAAGAGGGGAAAGGCCTCCCCCATTATGGAATGGTCAGCATCTTCAATATTTTATCCCTAGGTGGGATGAATAATCCTTATGTCATTTATCCCTGAACTGCAACTGTGAAATGGATAACTTATGCTTCAATTTTAAAATCAGGCAACTGACTTTATTTAGACATGAAATAAAGTCCCTGTGCAAGCAAAACAGTGAAGAAGCATGTGACCCTCCAACTTGCTGAGTAGTGAATTCAATTGTACTGAGTAGCTGGATAGCATCTCACATTAACTATGGCCAGCATAAGCAACAATGTGGAATGATGGGAACCTAAAAGAACAAGAGGCCAACAGGTTCCTCGCCCCTGTTGTAGAGATCATCATCATCATCATCATCATCATCATCATCATCATCATATTTAATTACTTATTAATCAGTACTGTTAATGTCTTGACATGGCTTGGCCTGCGACATCTCGAATCAAGCCACATTTAGAAGGAGCAATCACGTGAACATTCATCATATGGAAAGATGGAAACTCGTCTTACATGCTTTCCCACATCCTCAGGGAGACACGGCATAACTTAGCACAGGTCACTTAAGTAAAACCCTTGACTGAGCAGTCTTTAATCAACACATTCGATCTTCCCAGAATTATACAGTATATTCTGCTCTGAATTTTTGAAACAATGAAGCTGCAAACTGCTGATTTTTCTGGAACTGCCTGTCATGGTGGCATCACTTGGGTTGGTGTCACCCTAGTGCAGTAACATGTTACCTCCATGAATCTCATCCCATGCCACAATCCCTGCACTGTGGCTTCCCTTCTAGGGTATTCAGAGTGGGGAGGCGGCAGTATTTGGGGGTGGCAGCATGTGTCTCACATGGGTTCGGGATTCTGGAAGTTGTTGCAGTGGCAGTCATTTTGGTGTCCCCTCTGATGTGTCACTTGGTGCACCCCACATCCCCATAGTGATACCACTGCCTGTCAAGCCACCAAGCTCCCTGGTTCCATTGATTTAGCTATCTACATGCAGGCAGGGAAGCTGTTCACATCTCTACATAGCTATCCCTGAAGCATTGTGCTAGCAAGCACACAGCCTCCCACACAATACTATTTAAAGTGCAGATGAAATGAATTGGAAAATCGATGGAACAAAGCAAATATCAATCAACTACTTTCTAAATCTTCTTTGAAACACCTGATAAGCAATTAACCATCTCCAAACAGATAAAATGGCAAAGCACTGAAAATGCAAATAGCCCTGTTGGAAAGTTTTACAGATGTACGGTCAAATTAAATTGAGAACTGCTGTGCTGAAAACCCAGTCCCAATCCCAGGATAATGTACATTGTTCAGAAGGCAGGCATCAGTTTTGACCTGGGCAGAGATGAAGTCAAATTCTCTGGTCATTGAAACTACATTGCCTTGGAAAAGTTACTTTTTTGACACTTTAGTTCCACGAATCTCCTAGCTGGTAGGGCCAGTGACCCTGGTGGCTAGGGAATTCTGGGAACTGTGGTTCAGAAAGGTAACATGTTCAGGCTCTGGATCCACAGAACAGATTTCACAGGACTGGTTAACATGTGCAAAGTTCAAACTAGTCAAAAAAGATAGGCATCATTTTATTAAAATGTATTCTACAGAATAATCTGTATTAAGAAGGTGTGAGTTGGCCCACTCAAGATACAGCAGAGATCTGCTCTCTCTGTTAACCCATCAAACAAGTTGCCTGAGTAGTCAAGGTGAGACCAAGCAACTCCCTAAAAAATGTCTATTTCTAACATCAGGAAAAGAAGCAGACCAACATTCGATGTGTCAAGGCACCATGTAGAAACCTGTATAAATCCAAGCCCTGTAAAACACTCAGCATTACTGGGATGTTTTACTGCAAATAATGGAGCAGCTGACTCACATGTACGTGTTCGAGCAAGATAACCCTGCAGGTTCTGCCATGTGTCAACTTCTTGTCTCCCAAAAACTCATCTAACCCCTCCTAGCAGCAACGCCTTCAGCTGGAGACCTTCCACCACAAGGCTGACAGGACAATAATGTCAGACTCTTAGGCTCAGTTAGCTTTGATCAAATCAACTTGTTCTCTATTTTTTTCTTGCTGGAAGTCATTCCCCACTCCCCACAGTGTTGTTCCTAGTAGTCCTCACAAGTGGCTATGCCAACTAAGAGCCTAATAGTGTCAGGGATGCTTCTTAAAATACAAAAAGGACAAATTCTTAGACTTGGGTGGAGGGTGGGGGGAAATTTGAATAGTCTGCTAGCAAAAGGCCCTTTAATACTAACCAGTAACATCCCTTTACTGTTTCCACCATATTTTGTGTTCTTCAGCAGTACCAATGCTAATGCATCTACCAAGACACCTTGCCAACCATTAAGCACTCCTTTGCAATTACACAAAAGCTTTCCCCACTAATGGACTGGGTGCCAGGTGACCACTCAGTTCCCTGATCACAGCAGCACCACCGTGATTGCAGTAAGCACCAGGTAAACTTGGGATCAAACTAGATGTTAAGGGGAATGTATGCACACTATAGTAAGCATGTTTCCCCTTTCATAACATGCTTCAACAAGTACAAAAAGCAAGTGTGTGATTACCTTGAAACAGGCAATCACAAAACAATGTTCTCTAAATACAAGATACACAGTTGGGGGCAAATGCATACTATGATAAACAGAAATTTTTCATCAGTTGAAGGAGGGAAAATCTCTTCTAAAGACATGCTAAATGTGCTATCCAGTTTGAGTTCTACTTATAAACTGAGAGTAAGAGTGTGGGATTTCTATTACCAGAGATTGCTGGGAGGAACCTTCAGCCACAGATGGCGCTGCCAAGAGCTATAGCTCGCAAATAATAAATAAACAAATAAATCCAAATATTACAGTTGATGAATACGAGCCTCTTTCCACTTCATGGTGTCAAGTACTGGTGCTGTAGATATTTTTGTTAGGAAAGTGAAATTATATTTCACACTTTGAGAAGTCTGGATCAATAAGTACTTTGGATACATTTTTCAGAAGAGCAGCAGATCTTCCACTCCCACATTTGGTATTAAATGTCAAAAAGCAAACTGCTTGGTTATTTAGAGAAAAGGAACAATACAACAGGCAATACCTGGCAATGACATTTATCTAGGCAAAGGTCTGTCCCAAGCTGGAGATATTCAGAAATTAAAGCAAATAAGAGTACGAGTTCTCATAGTCTGAGCTCTGGTTCATATAGCACACTGCTCCTAAAACTGTGGGCCCTGACCCCCAAGTAGGTCAATTCTGGGATCCTAAAAAAATTAGCAACAGTAAATGTTTTCTGAATATCACCTAATGGCTGTTTTAGATATTTATATGAATCTGTTGTGCAGTGTTTGCAGCTGACTCTACATAAGGTGCTTCATCTGTACTTCATTAAAAAAAAACTAGCTTCTTTAACAAGCCCTGAAAATGCTAATTTATTATCAGTAAATGTGTGGTTCTTCCACTTATTTTATATACCCATATTCCTGGGGACATGTAAAAATGTATTGGGCTAAAAGGGATCCTGAGTGGAAAAGTTTAAGAAGCTCTGGCTTAACAGGCACAGAGCAGGAATTCAAAGTTCATTTCCTAAGAGCTTTGGCTGGGCATCAAACAAGCAATAATCACATGAGAATGGGGAGGAATCAGTATAAACCACCTATTAAGGGTTGTTTAGTGGCTCCCTTGCTGACAGAAAGGTTGTTGGTTTGAATCCGGGGAGTGGGATGAGCTCCCACTGTTAGGCCCAGCTTCTGTCAACCCAGCAGTTCGAAAACATGCAAATATGAGTAGATCAATAGGTACCGCTTTGGCAGGAAGGTAGTGGCTCTCCATGCAGTCATGCTGGCCACATGACCTCGGACGTGTCTATGGACAATGCTAGCTCTTTGGCTTAGAAATGGAGATGAACACCAACCCCCCAGAGTCAAACAGAACTAGACTTAATGTCAGGGGAAACCTTTACCTTAGGAGCACTAAGTCATAGTAGGGAAAGGTTTCTAGAAAGTGGGAGCTGAAGACAGTGCCTAGTATGAAAAAGACTGGATAGGCTGACAGAAATTAAAGGAACCATGTGCTCAGAAACAGGATATTCACCAAAAGTGGGTGTATGGGAGTGCACGACAGGGAGAGAGAGATGCTTTGTGACAAATAAGAGTGGCACAGAATTGGCTGGACAAGAATCTGGATGCAAATGGCAGGACAAGAGATTCCACCTAAACATTAGGAAAAACTCCCTGACAGTAAGAGCTGTTCAACCATAGAATATTTTGCTTCGAAGTGTGGTGGAGTCTCCTGCTCTGGGGTTTTTTAAGCAGAAACTGGATAGCCATCTGCCAGGAGTGCTTGGATTGTGTGTTCCTTCATAGCAGAGGATTGGACTGGATGGCCCTTGTGGTTTCTTCCAAGTCTATGATTCTCTATGAATCTACTTTAGAAGGATGCATGAGTGGGGATGTGGTTGATTTATAGAGAGAAAGGAAAGGCATCCCCAGCCCCTCTGCCTGGGTGCCCTACAGCCAGCTGCAAACAGGCAAGGAGGCAGCTGGCCTATGTCCTCCCTTCCCCTCCACACATACCATCAAAAAGCCTACGGCTTATCTTGCGCACAGAATAAGGTGTGCCCTAGGCTGCGATATCTGGGGATTATAGTCACCATCCTCCAATTGTATTCTGCTAAAACCACTTTCACAGACTCCATCATGCTTATAATAAGCGTTAAAGCTCATTGCATCATAGCTTGTGGGCCCGACTTTCCCATTAGCCCTGGTATTAGATTAGACAATCAGAGCCTGCTGGGCAGGATTAGAAAGGCCCTTTTGCAATAGCAGCTCATGTAATCTCTCCTGTTTGCTGGATCCCTTTATTCAGTGTGCCCCAGCTCTCCCAATGCAATGATATTCACAAGCGAACCAGGGCAACTTCTCCACCCCTTTTGCCTTCCCACCTTCTAAATGTATCTGTGCTCAACACACTGATCTGGTATCCTTTTTCTCAGTCCGTATTCCTCTCCAAAATCTGCCTTCTATTGTGCTTTTCTTTATCAAGGGTTGCTGGGGTCTATCCAAGTTCTTTCTGTGTACAAGCCAGCGTTCCATTTTCATTGGGATCGCTTTCAAGGAAGCCAAGAGCTTTGGGGAGTTGCTTCTATTCCATTGATTTCTTCCATTCACAAGTCACTGCAGCTTGGAATTATTTTTGGATTGAGAATTGTGGGTGGAGAAATATTGGAAAAGGAACAAATATTTGATTTTTTGGTTTTTCTTTATAAAGGCGATCAAGAATGGAAAGAAGGGGGAAGCAGAGATGAAACCTCTGAGGGAGGCTGTTTCTAGTGTACTACAGAAACAGTACAAAGGTCCAGGCCGCGTGGTTTGTGGAACAAACAATATGCAATATTAGTTGTGCAAATACAATTCATGTGCATATTGCAGACTCCCTTAGTGATGAAAATAGAAGTTGAGGGGGAGGAGGTGGTTTATTAAAATAACTGCAGAGTGAAAAGGCCCCTACAGTTGCAGTTTAACAGCATACACCATGTTTAATTTGGCCTCTTATGTGAAGGGCAGATGGCCAACATTGGGGAGTCATTCATGTCAGCTATACTATCAACTTGTTCAGCAATCAGAAAACTCTCTATCACTTTTCTGAGTGCGGTTTTTACACTTTCACATGCGCCTCCATAATCCATTCAAAACTGTCACTCCTACAATACTTCAGATGATCACTCCTATGGATTTTGTTTTTATATGAGCAAATCTGGTGGGCATGATTCACATAACAAAATCCCCCTCCCTCTCTGATGACTCATCAATAGCAGAAAATAGGACAAAGCAATGTCCGACTAACCGTTAAATGGCCCGGTCATAACCCTGAGATTCCCTCTATGGCAGTGGTTCTCAACCTTCCTAGTGCTGTGACCCCTTAATACAGTACCTCATGTTGTGGTGACCCCCAACCACAAAATTATTTTAGTAGCTACTTCATAACTGTAATTTTGCTACTGTTATGAATCGTAATGTAAATATCTGATATGCAGGATGTATTTTCATTCACTGGACCAAATTTGGCACAAATACCCAATACACCCAAATTTGAATACTGGTGGGGTTGGGGAGGGATTGATTTTGTCATTTGGGAGTTGTAGTTGCTGGGAGTTATAGTTCACCTAGAATCAAAGAGCATTCTGAACTCCACCAACTGTGGAATTGAACCAAATTTGGCACTTAGAATTTCCTTGACCAACAGAAAATCCTGGAAGGGTTTGGTGGGCATTGACCTTGAGTTTTGGAACTGTAGTTCACCTACATCCAGAGAGCACTGTGTTCTCGAACAATGAAGGACCTGGACCAAACTTAGCATGAATACTCAATATGCCCAAATGTAAACACTGGTGGAGTTTGGGGGAAATAGACCTTGACATTTGGGAGTTGTAGTTGCTGGGATTTATAGTTCACCTACATTCAAAGAGCATTCTGAATCCCACCAATGATAGAATTGGGCCAAACTTCCCACACAGAACCCCCATGACCAACAGAAAATACTGTTTTTTGATGGTCTTTGGCAACCCCTCTGATACCCACTCATGACTCCCCACAGGGGTCCTGACCTCCAGGTTGAGAAACGCTGCTCTATGGTCTTCCTGGCTGGATGAAGTCTGAGAGCTGCATTTCAGAGTAACTTTTCTAAGCAATGCTTTCCTCATCCTTTGTTTGGCTCTGCTCTATCTGTTCTGCAGCCAATGAAGGAAACATGTTGACTTTATAAGTTGAGATGATGGTGAGGCAGAAGGAGGGCTGGAAGTTTTCCCTTATCTCATGGTTTCCTTGTTAAAATATTTTCACCCTGCAGTTACTATCATTTGGTTTCATGTGCTAGAATTAATTTGAGTCATCACAATACAATATGACTTTTAATGTTGGTTGGAAGGGGTCCAATGACTCTGATGTTAAAGCAAAAATGGATCCCTTTTGGTTGTTATTATGAACTATAATTCAAGGTGCTTTACTCTCCAAAACAGTTTCTGCATCTTGGGAGCTCCTTCAAAATTCAGGATACAACCCAGAGCAGATTCACCACCTCATTGACAGTGGAACTTCTGTTTAATTCCAACTGAGTCATTTGAGAGTTGACTGAAGGGAAGTAAATATTCAAAATAAAGCAAATGTTTCCACAGTTTTTCAGTCATTCAATATGGTTAGTGCTAGCTGTGTGCACTAGTAATTCTGAATTTTTTAGATAGAGGAATAAGAGCCTATATATGAGCAAAATAATAAAAAATTATAAAAAATTATGAAAATATTTTTTATGAAATTATGAAAATTATAAAAAATTATGATTATCTCCTGGCAAAGTGTGTGTGTGCATGTGTGTGTGTGCATGTGTGTATTCTCTTTGCCAGGAGATAATCATAAAAATGGCTTCCCCAAAGGATGCTGATTCCCTGATTATTGTAACCTTTGACTACTAAATTCATGGATCAGGGTGACTGTGTTATGCCTTTCTCCTCTCTAGAAAGCAATTGCTGAATCATGTGATCATGTGGAATTGGCAGGATGTAAGGAGTACCCGTAGTTAGAAAGATTGGGTAGGAGATTACTTTCCAATGGAGAGGTTACTTCTGGAAACATTCCTGTTACAGATATCATGGGAAGCATTGATTAATTGTAACATTTCATAGCTTTCAAACCATGGTTGGGCAATATATGTGGCCCTTCAAATACTGTTGGACTGAAACTCCCATCAGTTATGGATGGAACAGTCATTTGTATGCTCATATGTGCAATACCAGAGCCTAAAGGGAAGATGAACAAATTTTATTTGCATATTGGTTATAACAGTGCTATTCAAAGTGGGAGTCGATGGAGTGGTGCTGGTCTGTGAACATTGGCTGTTGGTGCACAGCATGTTTCCAGGAAAGAAAGAAATAATTTTAGTCAATGTGCACAAATATGGCGCTAGTGGTTGACACATGGAAGGGAAACCAACCAATACTCTGAATCAGAAAGTTTAAGAAGCAAATAATGAACTCTTAGTCCCACTGTTTATCCTTGTTCCCTTTATTTTTCCCATTTTTGAAGGACAGAGCTAGCTACCCATAATTTTTCTGCTGAACAACATGTCCTGTGCAAACGTACTCTCACCTGTAACATTCTTGCGCAGTTCATCATCCTGTTCACGTAAAGTGCGCATCAGCTCATATATGCCGTTCTCCTCCACTAGGGCTAGTTTGTTTTCAGCATTGTCATAGATGAGGTTGCGCATGGCACCAGTGGCATGGCGCTGCACCTCTTGGTTGGAGTTGTTGAAGAGCTTCACTAGTTTGGGTATGGCTTGGAGGCTACGAGCCTATTATATGCAAAAGACCAGAAAAGATTACTGTGTAGCTCTCACATTATTTCATCTCACCTAAATCAACCTGCTCTTTCATCAATTCAAAAGACCTCTCCCAATACAAACACAACACACACAGAGTTTGAGAGAGAACTTTCCAGAGGTTGGGACAGCTATTTTTTGCATTTTTGCAAACCCCAAAACTACCTTTTCCAAGTTTTGATATTGTCACAACTGATCAAAGCTAAAGCCTCTTAAAGGACACATTTTTCAATAAATGTGGAACCAACCCTGAATAGCTCACATCCTAGGCAGAACATATTTCTGACAAGTAAGGACAGGTAATCACCCCTTTGGCCTTACCTGTTTCTTGGCATCGTTATCACTATAGCACTTGTGCTGAATATAGGCAGCCCCAAGAACCTGCAGGTTGGGGTCACTGGCCATCAAGTACTTCACTGCTGACGGAAGATCAATGTCATCAAACCTGAAAACCAAAACCAAGTTAGAGAAAAAATCAGACATTTCCCATTTTCCAAATTACTTAGAATTATAATAAATATCTGCAGAAAAAACAGCCACGAGTAGCCATGCTAAAAACAACACACAACAACAATAGAAGCTCCATATCCCTAACCAGCTTTTTCTAACTTTGGTCTCCCAAATGTTGCTGGACTGCAGCTCATATTAGTATCAAAGGTTTTAGTGATGGGAGTTGTAGTTCAATAACAAGTTTGGGGAAATCTGCCTTAAATGACATTAAAGGCCTTAAGTCCTAGTTCTAGGTAGGAAGACAAAATATAAATAATCTGAACAACAAGAACAAAAACAATAAGAGTAGTAGGGGGAAAGAAACTTACATCAACCTAATTGATTCCACCTCTACTTTAGGAAGAACTTCCTGACTGTAAGAGCTATTCAACAGTGGAACTCACTGCACTGGAGTATGGATTTTAAACAGAGGCTGGATATACTATTTTAAATGGTTTTTAATCTGATTAATGTTTTACTTATTATGTTTTATCTGTTGTATACATGGGGCATCGAATTGTTGCAGGCTGTAAGCCGCCCTGAGTCCCCCTTCGGGGGTAGAGAAGGGCAGGTACACATATTTGAAATAAATAAATACATCTGTCTGATATACTTTGATTGTGCTTTTCATGCATGGCAGGAGGTTGGACTGGATGACTCATGTGGTCTCTTCCAACTCTCATTATTCTATTATTCTAACTGACTCTTCTTTCTTTATGCTTCTGTTCCATATTTGGGAACAAACTGCCCCTGTGATAACCCCCCAAATTCATTCCAGCCCACTCACCCACTAGAGAAGGACTGTTGGGTCATCAGTGCATTGTGACCATCGTACATGTCAATAGCTCGCAGATCTTGCAAATGGTGGTTGGATTCAGTCAAGCTGCGCACAGAAGGGGCCCGGGAAGTACGTTCCACCATTCCTGTGTAGGAGTTTCCAACCATCCCCTGAGAACCCTGGAGGCCACCAAAGGAACCGCTGAACCGAGAGCGGTTGTTGCTCTGGAAACGTTGCAATGTGCGCATGGCTGGTGCACGGATGACGGTCCTATTCTGGGGAGCTTCCACACCATCCATCCAGTCAACTGGTCCTTTTGGGACAGCATTGGAACCAGCACTCATCTGCCTTTCAAAAGTATACGATCTGCTGAAACCTCCTCCTCCTCTTCTGTTTTTGTAGAGGGCGGCCTGGGCAAGTGGGTCCACTTGCTCTGACATGATGCTGTAGTGGTCATCCAGGCCACCAGGGCTGCCTGGCCCATCTACTAAGCGCAATGAGTGCAGGGACATGGTGTCAAAGTTCTGTCGAGGCCGGTAATTACGCTCATGGAAAGATCTAGGGCGGATCATTGAATTGGTAGCTTGAGACAGGGTGTAATTTGTGCTATAAATTGGGCCCTTTGGCCCAACACCATTGCTGACAGTGGCCATCCTCTTGTTAGGCCTGAGATCCACTGCTGAGCGGGAGGACCAGCTGGTAGTCTTCATGGTATTGTAACCTGTCTTTGGCATTGACTGTAAGAGCTGTGGGAGATAAAAGAGAAGGGAGAGTTCATGTATGTCTACTTGCAAAAGGCAATTGGTTCTGTAATCAAATAAATTACATGAGATTTGTCATGCAAATACTTTCATCCAGTTGACACCAGATGCCTAATAAACGGGAGTCACACTGGTCTTTTCTTAGTCACTAATGGACCCCATCTACAATAATCAGGCAGATGGCCACATTCTCCCAAGCTACGTTACTCTGAGTTAAATGTTTAAAAGGGGAATAGCTCACTCTGACACCATCACAGTGTTCAAACAGGGTGTCCTATTTTACTGGCACCATTGCTTTAAGATGTTATCTTTAGGAAAACGAGAAGGATAAAAATTAAATACTACTACTAGCAACAATAACAGCATAAATACTCCCAGTTATGACAGATACTTTGGGAAAATCAACTATAGAAAGATGTTTGAGGTGTTTCGAAAGTCCTTCCTAAGAGACTGACAACAATGCTTCTAAACAACAAATTGAATTGAGAGTAACATGCAAATTATCTTGCTACAGATGGGATTGAAATAACACAATAACAAATAACAACAACAACATCTCTCAGACCATGCCACATTATTTGAGTGCAGTTCAATATATCTTTTAGCCTGTGAAATAAAAAAATGTAATAGTCATTGGCCGAAAGATGAGAGAGGTAGCTAGGTTTTGCTTTTGTTTTTACATACTTACAGAGCTCTTGTGGTCTGTGCCATTTGTTTGGGACCGGGAACTGAATTGCAGAGTGCTATATTGGCCATTGGAGGAGCTTCCACCTGGAGTAAGTCATGGAAAGACACAATGTTGAACATGATTAGTGATGAACAATAGCAGCCAGCTAAACGTTGACAGGAACCAGATAAAGTTAGCAAACTCTGGAAGGATATTTAGTGTTGCCTTTCCAACTACAGATCCAAATGTTTATTCTGTGCCTGGCCCATCTTGAAAAAGTTACTTTCTGAGGTGACCCCTAACAATCACCCATCCAGAGTAACTAGTGTTGGCTCATATATTTAGTGCCTAAATATCCTAAGGCACCAGATCTTCTGTGATCCTAGAAATTAAACAGAGTCAGCTCTTGTTAGTACTTGGATGGAAAACTACCAGTGAATACCATCTGCTATCAGCTGTATTTCAGAAGAAGGAACTGGCAAAACCTCCTCTGAATTCATGGGGATTACATAAGTTGACAGGTGACTTTAAGGCACATATACACACTCTCCAAAATAACGAAATAATTATTTTTTCAAACTCTGGTCCAGCTGCAGTTTCTACATCACTTTTAGTTTCCAGAATGCCCATTGTGAAATTTTGAAATAGCAGCCAATTTAAAATGTTACACCAGTGGTGGCCTAGAGAAGCGTTGTCACCTCAGACAGGGAAAAGCTCTCAACGGAGAAGGGTCTCTCTCAGCCCCAAAGAGTAAGATCCTGTGCTTGGAGATGCCACAAAGTGTGCTAGGATATTAAACATCAAATTCATACCTTTATCTCTACGTTAGAACCTTGAAATAAAGATGTTCTAAAAATAACGTTAAAAATACATCATGACTTCCATATCCATTGTAGATACATTAAGTTCTCCTATGGAAACTGACTATCCTTCATCCTACCGTGCCATACTAGATAATTTCACTGGTGGACCAAGAAAGGCCCACAAAAACTTCCAGGAGGGATTTTTTTCGGAGCATGTCTAAGTGAAATCATGGGTATCGAATCAATGGATAAGGGGGGTTGACTATCCCACCTAAACACCATTTTTTCAGTGTTCTTTTTCTAGCAATGGCCAGAAAGATACCTCTGGAAATGTGAAGCTAGAGACTAAAGGAATAGCCATGCTTCCCTGTCGGCCAGAACCTGTGATAACCATGTATGTATTTATATCCACAGAGCATGCATTTGACTCAACTTTGCTGCCATGGCTTCCTACAAGACATCTTCTTCATTGATGTAGGCATCATGTAGTTCCATTATCATCAGTCACAATGGATACTGTATTCTGGAGTTATCTGTCTTTTCTCTTTGAAAATGGAAGATCTCCATATTGCCTTCCTAATTATACTGGGCTCCCACACCCATTAACCCCAGCGCCAAGTCTCATTTAGGAAAGCAGGGTAATAATAAGATAACTTGGAATGTATCCATGATGGATATGTTGCTGTAGTGCAATTTCCTTTAGTCCTAGCCAGAAGAATACATGCTGAGGAATGTTGGGAGTGGCAGCTAAACAACATCTAAAGATCATCACAGTTCTCACACCTGCTTTAGACAAAGAAAAACCGATCCTTCCTCTTGATGAAATGTGACATTTACTGTCTGGAAGCACAGAATACTGGCCCACAGTTTCGCCAAGCAATTCAGAGGTGTGGAAACCCTAGAGCAGAATCTCTTACCTTACAAACCATACAAAGACTCAGGTCTTTATAGTTTTATTTTACTACCAAATTACATAATCCTCCAGTCCTTGATGGTCTGCTTGAGGAATGGTTGTTTAATGTCTGGATGGTCCTGCCTTTTTCCACATCCAACTAATTATTTATATATATTTAACGTATCAGAAGCGAACCAAACAGTTGTATTGTATTAAAAAAACACAAAATTTGCAAACTTGGCAAACTTGGCATTCTATTAATGTCCTTTGACTGATAGCTGGCTACTAGGAGTGCCTCTGGTATTGCTATAAGAAGGTCCTCAATTGTGCAAGTGGCAGGGCTCAGGTTGCATTGCAATAAGTGGTCTGTGATTTGCTCTTCTCCACCCTCGCATGTTGTGGACTTCACTTTGTAGACCCATTTCTTAAGGTTGGCTTTGCATCTTCTTATACCAGAGCACAGTCTGTTCAGTGCCTTCCAAGTCTCCCAGTTTTCTGTGTGCCCAGGAAGGAGTTTCTCATTTGGTATCAGCCATTGATTGAGGTTCTGGTTTTTTTTAGGCTCAAATCTAACTAATTAGGATGTTGCCAAATGATGGAATATGAATTAGTTCATTTTCTTCACTGTATTTTGAATTACATTATACATTTGTCTGAAATCTCATCTTCTCAGTCCTTAGTGTGTGTGAGAACATGCTAGTTATTCAGATGTCAGTGAAGAAATTAAATCTACAATTCCTCAGGAGCACTTTCACTTATGTCTACTATTATGTCAGGTTTCAACTTTGGTATTGAAAGCCAATGTTGGGGAAGAACCTTGGAAGAAATGAAGTCACATACTGACTTAAGCTGGAAACAGAATAAGTGAAGTATAGCCCTGAACTGTATATTTACTAATAATTTCCTGAATATGAGTGTTCCTGTTAATTAAGTTCAGAATTACATCAGCTTCCTTTTCACGCCACTGCATGACACCGTTGACTCTGTTTGTTATCCATTATAGCTCTTAAAAGCTTGTTGGCATCATTACCACCTGTTCAATTATCCAGTATCTGTCAAGGGTCCCTGACCCAAACCTAATTTTTAAAGCCACCCCTCATTGACTTTGCAATGTCCCAATTTCCACCATATGTTCCTAGTCACTTGGATTTGTCTGCATCCATACCTTATGGCTCCTAGAGGCCCTTGTGATGCCTGCCAAAACAATAGCAAAAACCTGGAAGCAGTTCAAGTTGTCCTATGTTTACAGTACAGTAAAGGAATGTCTCTTTTTACTGAATGTTCTTGTCTCCTTCATTGTGACCACTTAGTTTCTGCACTTTGAACACTCTTTGACCCTTTTGAATTTTTTCAGTTTCCTGAGAATTTGAAGAAGTTTATTTGTGGACAACAATTCCCTGAACTATTTAGCCAGCACAACCAATGGCCATATTGATTGATTGTGGAAAGTTTGCAAGATGCAGTCCAAAAAGGAACTTTGTCAAGTTTGTATTCTCCCAACACTATACACATCTGTGTATAGTAGAATAGGTGAGTGGGGATTTTCTTTTGGCCCACGTGCTGATTTCAAGCTTTGGGACCCAAAAGCCACATTGCAGCATTAGGAAGAATGCAGAGACAACAGGTGGGATCAGCTGCAGAGTATGTTGTGCCAGATCACAGTTTTGTGACTTGGAAACTTTTCTTACCATGCACACCTAGCAGTGCTGAATTCAGTGCACATCTACTTAGGAGTAAACACCATGTTTTAAGCATCAAAACCACTTCTCAATTCAACACATATATGCTCAGAAGCAAACCTCAGAAATGGAGCTCAGATGTTAAAAACTACAAACTTGTTGTGCTGGTACAGCTGTACCAGGAGCTCCAATTTTGTTTGCTTTGTATTAAATGTTTGTTTGCAATCCCAGGCTTGGGATTTTGCAGCAGGGTGGCTTCCTGTTATAGTTTGCAATCATAGGGCAAGCCACCTGACAATTATCGTTAGGTTCTCTGGTCCTGCCCCTTTTTGAGTTTTGGAAGGAATAGGAGCCTTTTTGAGTCAGTTCTCACAGAGAAGCCTTTCGCACAGGACATAAAACCTAGAGCTTTGTCTTCTACAGCTTGGCCGGGGTTATACAGCCCTACAGCTTGGCCGGAAGATATACAGCCTTACAGCTCCTTTGCTGAGGGACCTCAGCCAGCTATCACTGAAACCTGAACTCCTTCTTTTCCCCTGGAAGTCTACAAAGCTCTGCTTGGTAAGGGTTGCTCGCGGAAGCCAGACGCAGTTGGTACCGGGTGCAGGGGCTCCACGCCAACAGAGGCAAGTACAGACTGCCCAGATTAGAAGTTAAGGATTTCCTCATTAGTTAGTATACAGTTATGAAGATAGTGCCTATTCCCAGTGAACAAGATTGCAAGAGCCAATAGACTGTTAAGAAAGCTTTAAAGTACCTGTTTGTTTTCATCAATAAAGAACTTTGTTGGACTTACTTTAAGCCTCTACAGAACTTTGTTTTGGGGAGGTCCAAAGGCCTTTAATCTGAGGCAGCCCCGGCGTCCCGTTGGGCACATGCAATTTATGTCCTGTCTACAGTCATATGCAAAGGCCCAGCGTGCGACAGCACACTTGTACATCTATATAAATAAATATTTAATATTCAATTTTGGGATTAACATAACTCAAAAACCACTGGACGAATTGACACCAAATTTGGATACAATATGCCTCTCAGGCCAACAAGTGACCATCACTCATAAAATCCCTGAAAAACACTGTGGAAGGGACTTAAAAGCCAAAGAAGCAAAAAGACACTACAGCGCATGGCAAACAGCACGCACAATAGCCGTATCCACACTCTCTTCTGGACTACAGGTCCCAGCACCTCCTAGACCAGGCCCTTGGGAAAGGAGGAAGATCCAAATGCACTGCTTTCAAGTTGCAAGCTTTCTTCTCCTTGGATTTCTTTGAGAGCACCCAAATCCCTACATATTTCCAGTTTCCTATTCCTGGACTGCAACTCCCAGCAATCTTCCAGATAGATAAGGTAGATATATTAGATATAGATAGATAGATAGGTAGATAGGTAGATAGGTAGATAGGTAGATAGGTAGATAGGTAGATAGGTAGATAGATAAATCAATCAGAAGGACTGCTGGGAGTTGCAGTTCAAGAATATGTAGAGAAGGAAGAAAGGGGAGAAAGAGGAAGGGAAAGAAAGAGGGAAGAGGAAGAGGAAGAGGAGGAAGGAAGGAAGGAGAGAAAGAAAGAAGGAAAGAAAGAGGGAGGGAAGGTTGGCCGCAGCAACGTGTGGTGGGTACAGCTAGTACAGAATATAAGGGGATAATATAAGTCTTGCTGGCTCAGATCAAAAGGCTGCTTAATGCGCCTGTCATTTTGCCTCCACAAGCAAGCAGGCAGGCA